AGGAGGATTAAATACAACTTTCTTGTTGAAGCAATCTATGGTGGCGTGATACACTGCTAGCCAATTCATTCCTAAGATTACATCAAAATCCCCCGTGTCTAACCCTATCAGGTCTACACTCAGCTTCCTATTTGCTATCTCCACGGCACAAGCCCTATAGATAGCTTCCCCTAGTAGCGTTTCACCCCCAGTAGTAGACACAAAAAATAGTGATTCAAGTTTATCAGGTGATACATTAATTTTAGAAGCAAAAGCATGTGAAACAAAAGAGTGCGATGCACCAGTGTCAAATAAAACATGAGCAATATGGTCACAGATAGTATACATACCCTGTACCACATCTGGGTCGGCGTCGGCATCCTGCTGGGTAAGGTTGTAAGCTCTACCCTGGATAGGAGGCCTCCCTTGATTCTGGTTCCTCGGGCATTCTCTGGCATAATGCTGGGCACTGCCACAAATGCGACAAGTGTTGTTGAGGCAGTAGCAGGGTCGGTCCCCGTGATCTCTGCCACAATGTTGACAGATCTTCCCACGTGCTGCCCCTGGGGCCTGAGGAGGGGCCTGGATGGCTGGTTTGGGCCTCTTGTTTGGTTGGGCAGGTGCCGCGGGTGCTGGCCTGCGGAACGGAGCTGAGGGTCAGGAACTCCCTCCTGGATGAGGACGGGTGCTGAAGCTTCTTTCCACGATTTGTGTCTTTGCTAGAACTGTTGAATATGTCTTGAGCTCCAGTACTACTAAGTGTTGCCTGATCTCTAGGCGGAGACCCGACTGGAATCTCCTGGCCTTTCGGCCCTCATCCATCAATGTCTCCAGGGAGTATCGGCCCAGCTCGAGGAATTTACAAGCATACTCTGATATTGTCATATTTCCCTGAACCAGTTGAACAAACTCTGTTTTCTTTAGGTGTCGGATGTGCTCAGGGAGATATTCCGCCTGGAAGGCCGTTAGGAACTGTTCCCAAGTGACTAGTGTAGGCAGGGTGGCCTGCTTGAGCTCCCACCAACGTCCTGCTTTCCCTACCAGCATGAAGGAAGCAAGGACAGCTCTCTGCTCAAGGACTACTCCCAAGATCCTGAAAGCTCTCTTAGTCTCCGCTAGCCAGTACTTGGCCTCTTCAAAAGAGGATCTCCCTGCAAAGGTGGAGGGGTTCAGTCTCCTGTACCTCTCTATATAGCCCAGGTCGATCAAGGAAGGAGCGGAGTCCCGTGGAGGAGGTACTGGACCCGGCTGGGGATAGACTATGGGGCCCTGTGGTGGCACCTGCTGAAATGGTGGGGGCACCGGATTGTACTGTGGTGGTGCCGGGCAGTACGGTGGCTGGGGCACCGGTTCATACTGCGGCGGTGGTACCGGGTGGTACTGTGGTGGAGCAGGCTCGTGCTGGGGAGGCTCGGGATTCGCTTGCTGTAGCGATGGCTAAACCCGTGGTAGTGGGGGAGGTTCGGGTAACTCCCTTCTCTCCTCTCGACCATGTTGGGCGGCCATGATCTTTTCCAGCATCTCAAATATTCTGTCCACATCTTCCCGAAGGGAACCATCCCAGGCTGCTCGGTTTAATGGGGGTCTTCCTCTCCTCATCTCTCTGCACCTGCATTTCATAAGGAATCGTTGAGTAACAGTTTATCGGTGAATATTTCTCTAAGCATTATTGTGTAAGGGATGGGTCTGGGGAACGCGGCTCTGATACCAATTGTAATAGCCCCGAAAATTTAGAATGAAATATGTGTATTAAAAATGTCAAATGCGGAAGCGTAGTAAAAATTTTGATTAACATCCCTTACACTAAAACCAAAAACGTGCTCAAAGTATAAAAGAACAAACTAACTAAAAGAGAAATTCGAAAATAAAAACTATAAATATAACTACGGAGTCTTTAGGCGTCCCCTTCACTGTTTTCCTGCGGAACGGGCTCGGGAACAATGTCTTCCTGATCTAAAATGGTTAAATAAGGAATGAGCTACACCAGCCCAGTAAAGACATCACACTATCTCACTGCCACGGAGGTAAAGGTGGGTAGAAAACACAAAAAGACCAATGGAACATAATTTATAATAAACTCTTTTATTAACATAAAAACCTTTATTGTCCACTTACCTCGGTGAGATCCATAAAGCAACATACGAAAGCAGTAACATTATCATCATCATGAAATCATATGAACTGTATAACAAAATACTTACCACGCCTTTGCGTTTCAATCATTAAACAACACATTTTCTTCATTTACCAGCCTACTAGTATCCATGGGGATCCATAGGGGTCCCGCTACCCGTGGACCCTTAACATTTATATCCTGATTCCAGAGCTGTCCCCATACCCCGTCCGGTATGGGCACCAAAACCATGAACCTCAATACCCCGTCCGGTATGAGGATAAAACGGGCCGTCCCCATACCCCGTCCGGTATGGGCGCCAAAACACATAAGGTCTCCATACTCCGTCCGGCATGAGAGACCACGTTCCCGGTAGGGTTCCCTAAGGACCCGGTCCGTCCACCATCTCTCAGGATATCTAGTCAGGCTGTCCACATTATTCACTATCAATTCACATAACCTTTTTGACCTTTTTCTTGATTTCAATCAAGCAAACGCACACAACATGTAAACCAGTAATGGACACCAAATAAGACAACACAGTATCGGGTTAAGTATAATATCGACCATAATAAGAAAATCATGATTCATGCATATGGGACCATAATATAATTACATCAAACATCATACTGCATTTAATACTAAAAATTAAATCAAATAATAACAGACCAACACAGTATCAGACTCGGGCTCCATTGGCAACCTAAATCAATTATACATGTATAAAGTCACACAGTACAGTTCAATTATTTATTTAGCTTTAATACCGTGATAGGAAATAGGGTAAGGGGTCCTTACTTGTTTCGGGGTCTGAATACGGCTCTACAGTGCACCTACAGGCTGTCCCTAATTTTTCATGAATTTTTTTCGGGGAGCTGAAACGCACTACTAGTACCTGCACGTGTCCCAAAAAATTTCAAATTAGACCTAGGGCCCATTTCGGCCAATATCGCAATTCCGGCACGGCGACTCCGCCTTGCTCCAACGACGGCGCCTCTGCTTGCGGTGGCGATTCGCCTCGGGTTGGTCGTTTTTGGCCATTTTCGGCCAAATTCGGCCATACTTGCATCGGTCCCTTCGATAGAACAACCCTAGGGCCCTCGGTGGGCCGAAAAATCGTAAAAAACTGAAACTTACCGGCGGTGGTGCTCTCGGGTGCGGCGGCTCCTCCGGTGTGAGTCACGTTTTGATGTTTGGCTCCGATCAACCTGTAGAGAAAAGAAGTGATCACGGTGGTATAAAATTTGCATCAAACGGAGGCTGGGAAGGGCCTCATCGGAGGTAAAAACCGAGGAGGGGTGCGACGGCGCAGCTGGGTTTCGGCTTAGTTTTCCGGCCGTTTGGCCGGTGGTTTGGCTCCGGTTTGGCCATAGGCGGACTCAATGTCGAAAAACGAGCAAGGGGGAGAAAAATTACCTCGATCGGCAGTCGAAAATTTCTCCGGTGCGGCGGCGGGTAACGGCGGCCGGCTCCTCTGGCGACTGGTTCTTCTTCTCCGGCGAGCACTAGCGGCTAGAGTTTCTTTGGTTAGGTGTGGGTGGGGGTATTTATACCCTTCGCCTTTTAATCTTGACCGTCCATCAAGATTGAATCTGAACCGTTCGATCGCGATTTAATTGGGTTTAAATCTGGGCCGTTCATCGCGATGCAATCTGGGCCGTCCGTGCGCGCAGGAACGGATCTGAGCCGTCCGATCGCGCGCACGCGGATCGCCCCCGTGGCCCGTCCCCTGGTCAGCGTGTCCTTGCCACGCGGTGCGTCCTGGTTGGCCAGGGCTGCTGACCGAGCCGCTGACGTGGCTGCTGACGTGGCTGCTGACGTGGTGCTGACGTGACACAACTTTTCTAAATTACGTTTTGACCCCGGGTTTCCGATTTTCTTTTTAAAAACACCATCAGAATCCAAATTTTCACCCATTTTTTCCAAAATCAATTTCAATTAAATCTAAATAATATTTTTACCCAATTTTATCATTATTATTATTTTTATTTTTATTAAATTAAATTAAATTAAATTAAATTAAATAAATCAATTAAAATTTCAATAATTACAAAATAAACTAAATAAAATAAATTAAAAATTAATAATAATAATAATAATAAAAATAAAATTAATGGGTGTTACATCTTGTTTTATTAATTTAATTTTAAAATTGATTATTTAGATTGACAAATGAGAGGTGAGGCAGTTTATTTATATGGAATAACATTTTTACGCGGTTAGGATTAATTACTTTAATATATAAGATAGATTGAATGAGTAGAAATATACATGGTATGGGTAGAATAATTAAATACTTTTAAATTATTTACTTCAAAAAATATCTTGTGTTGCAAGTGTAATTAAAATGAATTTTATGAACTATACATAAGAATTTTATTAACTGAAATTAAAATTTATAGTTAAAAATTCTACTACTTATTTAATAAAAAGAGTTTACTAAGATTATGTAAAACAAAAATTTTAATGATTAAGATATATCGTTAAAGATTTTATGGTTAAAATTAAAATTACAGTAGAAGTAGACAAATAACTATAAAAAAAAAAAAAAGTATTAGTGTAGTTCTTAATTCTTAATTCTTAACTGGTTTCCTAAACCGAACGAAAACAAATAAATCATTCATTAAATCCAGTTCTTAAATCGGTAACTGGTTTCTTGAACATAACTTGTTTCCAGATTTCTAGAAATCCTAAATTTTAAAAGGTTTCCGAAACAAGCAAGGATATGCCAAAACAGAAATCACCAATAAATAAACATAAGCTTCTTCCCATTTTACATCCCATTACCAAATCGCTTCTTCTTCTTCTTCTTCTTCTTCTTCTTCTTCTTCTTCTTCGTGCAACACAAGTCAATCTCTCTGTTTTCCTTTCCTCGTTTAGTTTCTCCCTGATTTGAAAAACGGAATCAATGGAGAAATTCAAGTTGGTTAACGGAGTTGGTGAGGGAGGATTCGGGAGCGTGTTTAAAGCCATCAACAAAGAGACGGGTGAAACGGTCGCCGTTAAGAAACTCAAGAAGCCTTACAATTCATGGCAGGAGGTTCTGAATTTGAAAGAAGTTAAATCTTTGCAAAGACTGAATCATCATCCCCACATCGTGGGACTCAAAGAAGTCGTCATGGAGCACAGTACAGTCTACTTCATATTCGAATACATGGACTTTAATCTGCTGCAACTCATCAAACAGAGACAAGGTTTCCTCTTCTCAGACGCTAAGATCAGGAACTGGTGTTTCCAGATATTTCAAGCCCTTGTTTACATGCACCAACGTGGGTATTTTCACCGTGATCTCAAGCCGGAAAACTTGTTAGCCACGAATGGTAAAATCAAGATCGGTGATTTTGGTCTTGCCAAGGAGATTTCTTCGCAACCTCCTTACACAGATTATGTAGCTACTCGTTGGTATCGAGCGCCAGAAATCTTGCTAGGATCTCACATGTACGGCGCTGAAGTTGATATGTGGGCGATGGGTGCTATCATGGCTGAGTTATTTACTCTTCGTCCTCTGTATCCTGGTAAGGATGAAATACACCAGATTTACAAGATTTGTGAAGTTTTAGGAACACCCACCGAAGAAACTTGGCCTAATGGGTTGAATCTTGCAAAGGCGTACTCCTATAGATTCCCTAGTCTTGCTGGTCAGAGTCTGTCAACCCTAATTCCATCTGCTGGTGAAGATGCAATTCATCTTATCAAATGGCTTTGTTCATGGGATCCTTGCAAACGGCCGACTGCTGCTCAGTGTCTTCATCACCCATTCTTTCAGAGTTGTTTTACGGTTCCACGTCTGTCTCTTCTTCCATTACAACAACCAGGTTTGACCCACAAGAAAACTACGACATTAACACATGATGAAGCTGGTTCAGAAGTAATTTACAGAGAAAAGAAGGCAGTGAAGAGGATTAACATGGAACAACCCCCTCCGGGCTTCACTCCAAAATACGAAGTGTTTAAGAGAAGGAGGGATCCACCACCGGGCTTCGAGCATAAAGTTTTGGAGTTGGACTTGGCTGAAAATTTAGCGAAGATGACGATTAGTTCGAGATTCCCAGAAGTGGGCCAGTTCGTTGGGCCTATACTACCATCTCCCAAGCCTATAGTTCAATGCTGAATTATATGGAGGCCTATGATTAATAGCCCATTGCGTGTAGATATATATATATATGAACATAAATTGTAATTTCCCAGATGGGATCTTTAGAGAATGATATATAAATTTTTTTGTTCTGTAAACAATGTTGATTTCTAACGTAAAAGATTGGATTAACCATCTAAAATATTGGATTTCTTTGGATTTTTCCAAACGAACATAAAATTAAAAACATAAAGTTCTGATGCTTGAATATCCAAGTATCCGAAAACTAAAGTAAATTTTATTTAATCTAATTTACATATTTCTCTTCTATCCGATACTTAAAAGTTTCTGATCCAAAGGGAAATATACAACCCAATGAATCTGTATTCTGTAGTTTTGGTTTGGTTAATTAGGAGACTCATGCATTTGGTTCTTTCCGGTTCTACCTATAAAACTTTGTATGAGTGAATATGATACACGCAAGTTTCATTCTTTCACTTAGGATCACACCAAGAATGCTAAAAATTTATAGAAAATAATAATAATAATACGATGACTAATTTTAACTCAACATTTTTTAATTATTACGGCCTGATATACAGAATATTCTCCCTTTTAAAAAAACTATTTTTCTCTCATCCTCTTCTGGCCATTGTTATATATAGTGGCAAAGACTGGGAGCTTCATTCGAGCACAGGGAACGATGAACCGACTGGCACTTATTAGTATCTTTTTCTTCTGTTAGCATAAGCAATTTGCTTCTTTATATAACCTGGGTGCCATCCATGGATTTAACCAGACTTGCACAATCGCTTGTTTTGGCAGCTCTCATCTTGAAACTCCTATGGACATGGTTCAACAAAAGATCCTTGCAGAAAACCAGAAGGCTCCCACCCGGACCACCACAGTGGCCGATAGTCGGTAACCTTCTGCAGTTGAGCCAACTCCCTCACAGGGACCTAGCCTCATTGTGCGACAAATATGGGCCTTTAGTCTATCTTCGTCTGGGCAGTGTTGATGCTATCACCACCAATGACCCAGATATCATACGCGAAATACTTGTCCGACAAGACGATGTATTTGCCTCCCGGCCTCGGACGCTAGCTGCTGTGCACTTGGCTTACGGGTGCAGCGACATAGCATTGGCTCCTCTAGGCCCACATTGGAAAAGGATGAGGAGGATTTGTATGGAACACTTGCTTACGACCAAGAGATTGGAGGGGTTCGCGAAACAGCGAGCAGAGGAGGCCAAGCATTTGGTGAAAGATGTTTGGGCGCAGGCACAAAGTGGGAAAGCGGTGAACTTGAGGGAGGTATTGGGTGCGTTTTCTATGAATAATGTGACAAGAATGTTGCTGGGGAAGCAGTATTTTGGGTGTGGGTCGGCAGGGCCGGAAGAGGCAAAGGAGTTTATGCATATAACACATGAGTTGTTTTGGTTATTGGGTTTGATTTATTTAGGGGATTACTTGCCGATTTTGAGATGGGTGGATCCTTATGGGTGTGAAAAGAAAATGAGGGAAGTGGAGAAGAGAGTGGATAATTTTCATTCAAGGATTATCCAAGAACATAGGAAGGAAAGGGAGAGGAAGAGAAAGGAAAATGCTGGGGATGGAGAAATTGACTTTGTTGATGTTTTGTTGGCCTTGCCTGGTGAAGATGGAAAACAGCATATGGATGATTTGGAAATCAAAGCTTTAATCCAGGTTTTGCATCTTTAGATCCCTTCTTTTAATTATGGGTCTGTTCTTAATACATACATTTCAATATTGGTTGCTCACTATAATGTTAGAACCGAGCTTGAGAACCTTAAGAAAAATCAATGGGTGTAAAATGAACAAGAAAAACTTGAAAATTCATTACCATAGCAATGGTTACAGAACAGACCAATAATGAATCGTCAAAGTATTTGAATCGTCAAATCTATCTATTTTTCCCCGATTTCTTCGAATCTGGAAACTTATGAGGAGCATCGACAGTGCAGGCAGCTTGCCTCTTCTTCTTTCTCCTCAACTTGTCACAGAGGAAGGCCTTCTCTAGCTGCTCAACCCTCTGCGATAACGAGCTTATCAGCCAAGTCTGCATAGCGTTCCTCTCAAACAGCTCTGTCATCAGACTCATCATCTTTTCATTGTCCTTCATCATCCTCTCCAAGAGGTTCGTGTTTCCTGCGTTTCCTTCATCTGCTCCACAATCAGACATTACATTCTCTTCCTTCTTCTCAGGGCAAACAATTGCCAAACCTTCCTCTCCATGAATTCCCATCTTTCCTTCAACTTCTTCTACCAAATTATGAGAGTTCGACGATGAATATAATTGGCTCTCACCCTCGCTACTCCCCAAATTCTCTTCCACCGATTCAGTTGCATCATAAGTCCCTGAAAAATCCTTACCATTTTCCATATCGTTGATCAAATTTTCACAGCTAGAATCAACAGAATGGTTCGCCTCTGGGGATTTGTCTGCGTTGTCTAACGCTTCGGGCGTCCCCTTAAGTTCCTCGCAGTCAAGCGTAGAGCCTATATGATTCTGGAATTGTACCTTTTCATCAACGCCAAATTCACTAGAACTGTCATTGCCACTCACGATATTAGAGGCAGAATGCTCCATTGCAGGATTATTGCCTTGAGCCAGTAGGGTTTGGGTTGAATCAACAGGTCCATCAATTGTAGGTAGCTCCGCCTCCTCTTTGTCCTCAATTATCTGATCAACAACAGCAACGCCTGAGCTTGCCTCCACCATACCAGCTCCTGCAGTCTCGCTTCCAGCAGCAATAGCGTCGAAGATTTCCTGCAAAGCGATTGCCTTCTTGATCACGGCCTTCCTGCAACCCCTAACCCCGGAATCCACACCTCTCACAGAATCCAACCTGAACAGCAGACTCATCAACGTCTCATTCACCCTCAGTCGTTCCTTGGAATCCTTCTGAATTAACTCAACTGTCTCCTTCTTGGAAACCTTCTTCTCAATCTCCTCGACCTCTCTCCTTATTGCGGCGATCTTTTTCACACTTTTCCTCACCAGAAACCCCCTAAAAACCTTCTGAATCTTCACAGCCGATTCGGACCTGCTCCGCTCAGACTCGACAAAGCGGACTGGGATTGACACAACCTTGGGGGATTGCGTCCTTTGCACTTTCTGCATCGGTATCCCTCTCACGCTTGGCACGTATAGAGAACGAGAAGGCGTGTTCCAGTTGCTTGAAAAATATGGACCATCCATTTGATTTTTGGAGAATGCGAGAGTTTAGATTTGATGTTCTTCTATTCGCTTTGTTGTTTTTTTGTTTCTTGGTCAATGGATAACATTAGGGTTCTAGCGCGTTTTATAAAGAAGTTTAACATGAGAGAGGGAAGGTTTGATATGCAAAACAAAAGATCGAGAACATTCAGGTACTATGGAGAAGATGAGCGTTATGAAGCTGTCGATTTCTAGAAGGATCTCTTTGCCCGCGATTACAATGCACGCGGAGCGAATGAGTTTTTATTTATGAAATAACTGTTTAGGCAACGCGACATTTATTAAAAATTAAAATATTTAGTTTACTGAAAGAGCATATATATACATAAGGAAAAAGTATTATTATTTAACTAAAAGAGTATATATATATATATATATATATATGAAAAAAATTGTTGTAATAATTTTACTTGGTTGAAAAATAAAAAATGGAAAACATGACAACATTCATTAATAAGTAAAAAAAAAAATCTATCAATAAAAAAATTACTGTTCTCTTCAACCCAAACAAAATTAATATAATAATTAGTTAAAAATTACCAAAGTACTCTTCTTAAGCGAACGAAAACTATTTTTCATACCATACTCAAGAAACGATTCTTAAGTGCATCTTACCCCTTAATAGAAAGGGAAGCATCGATATTTAGTTTGTACATGCTTGCTTGAGGAAAAGACCTACCCATGAGAATTATGGATGAGCACCAAACAAAATATCTTCTATTATTTTTCGATTATGAACACTATGAAATTCATAGAAGTAATATTGTATTTTCATCAACCAAAATTTGTGATTTTTTTCATTTTTGTTATAAATCTACATGTCTCGTGCGCCCACATGCCTCACAGAATAAGTATAAATCATAATTTATAATTATTTTCAGCAATATTATTTATACTTATAAAAACAAGATTTTCTTGATTATCAAGTCATAGAGGGTCCAACTTTTATACTATATCAAAATATATACACATTTTATAGAGAGGTGTTCTATAATTTCCTCACCCTCATCACACATCGAACATATTGGATTCACATGAACTCTTTTCTAGGCTAAACACATCTTCATTAATGTGTCATTATATGTTCTCAATACCGTAGATTTTTGCTCTATGAAGTATCTTGAGGACTATAAACTGTTCTAGACTTGTACATGACCTTGTAATGATAGTCCCACATTTTTCTTACACTACTTCTACCATGCCTGGAAGTATCATATTTTAGTTGTGTATTCTTCATTTTTTATATCTGCCCAAATAATTTTATCAAAAAACAGATGATTATTTAATAGAATACTTATGATTTTTACTATAATGCGAAAGATTAAAAATACTTTAAATTAGAAAAATATTTCAAAATATCTCACTTGAATATGAAACATTTATTTGTTCATATCGATACTCTTTCATCATTATTAATCTTTAATTTTAGACATTCTTGTAATAATTCCTTAAATTGAATCTACTCAAAAAATTATTTCATTTCAAACATTATAATTCACATATGAATAGATTGTGTGAAGGTTAACTTATTATGTTTAATTTAATATATTTAAAAAATTATAATTATTTGTCTAGCAAAAAACATGTTAATGTAGTTGGGTGTACGTTTTAAACATACAATATAACAATGAGTTTTGGTGGCATGATTATCAATAAACAAAGTGAACATAAATTGATAGGTTTAGTTTATGAAAAATTATAAATTAATAATTTTATTTCGTAAAAAAAAAATAAGTAACAATAAAAAAGATGTGATCGTTGTACTTTGTACGCATGGTAGAGCGAGAAAAAGAAAATTGGTAAAAGAAAGAAATTGCAAGTAAATAAAGATCACGTAGCTAATTAACTTGAGTAAAAGAAAAGAAAATTAGATTAAGAATTTTGTTTTAGAAAATTAAATCCAACCGAAGGGTTAAAAAAAGGCATACCAATTTGGGCTTACCAGTAAAAGACAAAATGAATTGGTAACTTTTACTCTATAGAAAGTTGGAAAATAGATTTTAAAAAAAATTATTTAATTAAAAATAAGAGAAACTTAAAGAAAAAAAATGAGTTTTGTTGTAATTAAGATTAGAAAACTTAGAATAAATATAAAATATAATCAATCTACTATAGGAAAAATAACTTCAAAAAAGTATAAGCTTGTACATTGAAAGAAAGTAGTTGTCTCTTGTTTATGTTGTTTAATCAAATAAAATTTATTTATTCATCTTTCTTGATTCTTTTACCAAACAGTAAAAGTGGAGTGATGAATAAATTAGGTGATATGCTTATTTGCCATTATTTTATTTCTAAAGTATAAGTTGTTGCTTGTTTAGCTAATGAAATGTCAAAGTTACACTTTGAATAAATATTTAAATTTGTCATTATTCTCATTCTTTATTTATTAACTGAATAATTGATATTTTTCCTATAAAAGTTTGAGTTAAAATATGCATGATTTATATCCTCACTAAGAGGTCGTGTAGTGAATAATATGCAAATATTACTTTATTAATGCATTATATTGAATAAATTTCCGCTAATTTTTTTTCTGAAAAAATTAGAAATAGAGAAATGATAATATATCAATTGATTTCATGACATTATTTATATATTGTATAAGAGATATTAATTTTTATTTTTTCCTTTAGTTTTTTATTTTTATTGAAGGAGATTGTGATTGGCATTATTTATCTCTTACAACTATTCATGCGATTTGTCTTGTGCATTGCATGTTAGGACATGATAGCTGCAGCAACTGATACTTCAGCTGTGACTAACGAGTGGGCAATGGCAGAAGTAATCAAGCATCCACGTGTTCTCCATAAGATCCAAGAAGAACTTGATTCTGTTGTAGGCCCTAATCGTATGGTTACTGAATCTGATCTACCCCATCTTAATTACTTACGATGTGTAGTGCGGGAAACATTTCGCATGCACCCAGCTGGGCCTTTTCTTATTCCACATGAATCCTTACAACCCACTATAATAAATGGTTATTATATCCCGGCCAAGACACGTGTCTTCATCAACACTCATGGATTGGGTAGGAACACCAAGATATGGAGTGATGTGGAAGAGTTTCGACCTGAGAGACACTGGTTGGGTAATGGTAGTCGAGTTGAAATAAGTCATGGAACTGACTTTAAGATATTGCCATTTAGTGCTGGAAAGAGGAAATGCCCTGGTGCACCACTAGGGGTGAGTTTGGTACTCATGGCTTTGGCACAACTCTTTCATTGTTTTGATTGGGCTCCACCAGAGGGTTTAAGGTCTGAAGATATTGATACAACTGAAGTATATGGTATGACTATGCCAAAGATCAAACCTTTAATAGTTGTTGCTAAGCCACGTTTGGCCACTTATATTTATCACTAATCTAAATGATAATAAAGTTTTATATAAGTAAGCTATTTTTATATATTGTAGTTTTAAATGTTTTAAAAAAGGTGATGATTAGTTTTTTTCTTGATTGAAATTGGTAGCACAAATATATAAATTGATTTTTTTTTTTCTTTTTCACTTTTCTTCAAGGTGAAGGCTTTTAGCTATTAAAATATATAAGTACTTAATCATTATATATATATATATATATATATATACACACTATTTTGGGACCGAATGTTAAATTTGGATTCTTTAATCACATAAAAACAATAAACGATTATATTTTATTCTTATTAAAAGATTATTCTTATTTTTAGTTTAAGTAAATAATTAGTAAAATAATTTACTTGTAAACATTCATGTACAATATTTAAAACAACAAAATATGTAATACTTTCTTGGGATGCATGAGGATTTTCTCTAGTAGCAAATTCTCTTCAAATTATTCTTGGATCTTCATCTTTATTCATTAACCACTTTTGGTCAACAATAGAAAATGTCAAATTGTTTCTATACCCAAATGCTTGAATATAAAGGAGCATAGAGAGCCAAAAAAGCTCTTCTATTTTCTTCTTCAAAAGGTATACTTTTTCCTACTTGTAACTAGAGAGTTCTAATTTGTATTTTATTAGATTTATAAAAAATAAGTAAATATAGATTTATATTAGTAAAAAACAATAATGAATCTAACTTATTATGTTGAAGTCAAACGTTTTATCTTCATTTCCTCTTAATAAAGTAATGTAATAATATCTCAGCATTCAAATCTTATTTTAATTTGTTGGAAATAAGTTATTGTTCTAGTTAATTTTTTACGACATATTAGTTGTTCTTTAATTTTTTTTATTATTGAAAATAAGTTATTTTCCTAGTTAATTCTTTATTTTCTTCACATTATTGATAATAGTTACTAACAAGTTGACTCTTAAATTGTCCGAACATTCTTATGAAATATTTATCCTAGCTTAAATACCTTCTCAATATAATAACATGAAAAAACTTACATTCTCTAGTCTAATGAATGCAACATTCTGACAAGTTAAATTCTAAAATATTTATTATGTTTGACTTATGTTATTAGATTTAATCCATAAATCATCTCATTGCTTATCACAAGGTAGATTAATAAATTTTTTAATAACATGTAAAATATATTGACATTGATTAAAAAATATTAGCAGTTTCTCAAAAAAAAAAAAAGGAAAGAAGACGATAAAATTAAAGAGATTTGACATGCTAATAAATAATCTTTTGTTAAAAAAAAATTAGAAATCACGATAAATAATGACAATGTCTAAGTGGTGGTTGATAAAATAGTATCTGGAATAACGATGTAACATCCAGTCCCGGAATTTAGGTATGGGATAAACAAATTATATTAATAAAGAAATTTAGAATTTTTAATTTTTAATTTTTAATTAAAATTTTGAAGAAAATTATATTTTGGGGTATTTAAAAATAATTTTTAAAAGTTATGACCAAACTGAAAATAAGAAATGACCTATTTAAAATATAAATTAGAAAAAATCGGGATAAAAGTACAAATAATAGAAAATGGATTATGTATGACTGTCACGTCAGTAGCACGACCAATCACCGTGCATCGCATGGAAGACACATGAACATGCCTCCACGGGGGAAGCCACGCAGATGATCCGCGTGCCAACGGATCTGACGACCTAGATCTACTCTCGCACGCATGATGTCCATATTTGTTTATCTTTAGACATGATCGAATGACCTTGATTGCATCCGATCGTGCGGTCCAGATTTATTTCTTAGATAAGATTGATCTGACGACTGAGAAAGGGGCACATCACCTTGAATGAACGATCCCAGATTTAATGAAGATAAGTATTTAAACTTCTCTTCTCAGAAACCCTAGCCCTAACCGCAACTGATCCCGTCGAAGAATAAGAAGAAAGGCTACCCGGCCAACCACCATCGCCGTTGCAACTGATCCTATGCCTCTCCACACTCATATCAATGCCGAAAAGGAAAGTTGGAAATCGAGGGCGAGGTTTGGCCAAGCTGCTGTACCCGCGACCTAAAACCCCTCCGGTGAGCCCGAACCCCCTTCATGTTTCTTTTTATTTTCCAACTGTTGGATTTCTAACACTTTTTTAGTGCAGGACAATTAAAGAAAACCCCTGGCCACGTGGGAGGAACGGTAGAGCCGCCACGCCAAAAAATCACCCTACTAATAAGCTTTGATTTTTTTCTTTTTTTCCGGCCAACAGAGGCCATCTAACCTCGAATTTTGCAGGTTTTCACACAAGATCACCTAAAACCGACCGAAATTGGCAAGACCGAAAGGAGACACCATTGTAGGCGACAGAGCTGACACCAGAGCATGGTGGCACTGTCGTGCCGGAACCCAAAACTGGCCGAAAAATTCTAAAACCCTTATTTTTGGCCTTTTTGGGTATTTCGGGATATGTGACGTATGTTTTCGATTTTTGCAGAAAAAATTCAAGAAATCTGGGAACCACTAGGAAGTGCAGTGGAAAAGACGGTATTTCGAATACTGACTCGGAATAAGAATCTCTCACCATTTCCTCTGTTACAGTGAATTGAAGTTAAAATAATAGTAAACGGTAGTCTAAACAGTGTTGTGATTCACTGATAATTAAATACAAGTTGTCAATGGAACTGACAAATTAATTGAGTTTTTGTCCGTTATTAGTTTTGTCATACTTGTCATTTTCTATTGTACTTTTATTTGTGAGTTTCATTTCTTTTATTTAATTATTTTTTAATTAAATATTTATTTATTTTATCTGATATTTATTTTCATTCCATTAGTTTATTTCATTCTGTTGTCTCGTGTTATTTTGCCCTAGTATATTCCCTTTCGTTTCATCCTCATGTTTTATTTTATTTCATATACGTCTTATTTTATTCATTTAACCTATTTGTTTACATGAAAAATTTCTATTCTATGTTGCCTCTTTGTTCCGTTATTTATTACAATTTTTATCTCTATTGGTTACCAAGATATGAATAACATGCCCTTTTATGATTTAATGTATGATCTCATGACTGCTAGTTGCTTGAGTAACAATGAAACATATATGTGCATAAAATAGTGACATAAGCCTAAAAGACTTATCGGGTGCCATGGAAAATGGTGTACAGACCTGGTACATAGGGCAAACCTTACTGTAGAGATTAACTCAGTTGAACGGGGTTGAGAAGTAATATACTGGAAGGAGTTGGGAAGTATTTGTTTACCTTCATACCAGACAGGGTATTGAGGCAGTGGTATGTTTGACGCTCATTATCGGACGGGGTATGCAAATGACCGCTAATTTAATATATTGGATATTGGATCAACGTGTAGGAGGAACTCTATAGACCCTCAGAGATACTGCTAAGTAAGTAAAAAGGTAAATTTTGATTATTGTTGTTTTCTAAAATGGCTAATGAATTGTTATCTTGATTTTTGCATTCACAAGTCGTATCTGAGAACAAAAAAAGGTGAGTATGAACTACATTTTTAAAATTAAATGAATTTACCTAAAAAGGAAAATGACTTCATTGGTTGTTTGTGATTTTCACCAACCTTTGATTTTCTGTGTCGGTTATTAAATGTTGATATTCTTATTGGAGTAGTGTAGCTCATTCTCCTTATTTAACCATTTCAGATCATGATGATGATGACTATGATGTGGATCCTTAACAGTAAAAAAGTTAGTGACTAAAGGTTACCTCCTATTTTCGATCGGAATTGTTTAGCGGAGGTCGACCTTATAGGTTTCTAGTGCATTTTTATTTATGTTATTTTTATCTCCTTTAAAGAACATTTTCGTAACCCTATTGGGTATTTTGATTTACTGTGTAATGAATGTAAACCTTAAATTCTCAATTACTTTCGCTTATATTTCATTAATTCAATATTTCTATTCAATTAAATTTTGGACTTTTACAAATGAATTTTACTCTATAAATTTAATAATGTGTTTATTTATT